TCAGCCAAGGAATAATCCAGAAAGGTGGCTCTTACTTTGATTGACACGTTATTTCCAACATAAAGTAGGGGAAACTGAACAGCAAATCCTGGTTTGCCCTCCTCACACCTTCTATGCAGTTGAAAGTGTAAATGGAATCAGGGTTAAAAGTGTTAAAGGTCACACACAGATATTTTCAGTCATATCCAAATATATGAATCATTTATATTGTCAAAGTGACCTAAAATACTTTAGAATTTTCTATTAATCCAATGTAACATCCCCATCCTAAGGCATAATTTGAATTATTTACAAATATTTATTTTAATTACTTAATTATGTTCAACTAGAATATACTAATATGGCTAGTTTATGTGACTATGTGACAAGTAGCTTAGCTGACTTCTAGAAACCTGAAAATATTTCTAAAATTAAAGGGGAAAATAAAGCAATAAAAATGTTACACAGAAACAAGTAGCATCAAAAAGGAAGAGCTATCCATGACTGATTAGCTCTGTATAACACCAAAGCAACACTGAAAAGAGAGAAGTTCAAGTAATCCATTGTTTTCTCAGTACTATCTATATATAAATATATTTTCTAATGCTTTTTTTATAAAACTTAATTGACTGGTAGTTTGGATATCTTGGATAAACATTGCTTTTACGTACTCACATTTCTTAACTTTTTAGTTCTGCAATGATTCAACCAATACAGAACTATTGCCCCCAACCCCCTACTCAAATCCTTGTGCTAGTCTATGAAGTTGCATAATGCCAAAGACTATGACACATTAAGTAACTGTTTTGTACCTAGAACAAAATCTGATTTTAAAATCATTTTAGCCTGTTTTTTGAATGTTTAACTTTTGTTATTTAACAAGATTGATTATTTGCACTTGAAAACATATTCATTTTACAAAACACCTAACTTCAAAAAAAGCTTGACATTTAATCTTAAGGCAAAAAAAAAAAATAGCTACTCAGTTCATGACTTTCAAATACACCCTATATAACCTCACCCCACTACCTCCATATTCTCTTTTTAGGTACTGAAATTTAACCAGGTCAGTTTTGGTCTCAAATAACAATGTCATATGAGTTTAAATAGCTATCTAGGGAGTTAGATTGAATCATTTGCTAAACTCTAATATTTTAAATTTATAAACTTCAGAAGGTAGATAGCTTTTGAAGCTGACAAAAGACCAATCAGAAAACAGTAGTCTTTTTGTGTGCTGCCCAGAAATTCAGTTACAAAGTGGTCCTACTGTGTTTCTCATAATTTACATATTTTTTTGGCAGAGCAGAAAGGAAAAAAAATAAGAAGTCAAACTTGGAGGCATACAACAAAAATGAAAGGTGTCATTTTTATTTTTAAATGTCCCCTTGACATTTAGATATCTACAAACCCAATATTTAACATTTACAGGCGATATAACAGTAAAAGAAATAGCAGTTGTTTTTCTGTGATGTCACTGAACAGGTGTGGTACCATTTCATACCACAGAAATGGGATGGATCTCTTGCTGATGCCCACAGGAAGCCCATATGGAACCAGTATTGACCTGTGTCTCATTTCCTCAGTTATGATCTGAAAATAACCCTGGATACCAAGAGTCGTGGTGACTGATCTGTGCTGATTTGGAGCCGACATTCTCCCAAACAGATCAATACTATCCAAGGTGCAGCTGAAAAACAGGATGAGCTTGTATCATTAAACAAACACCAAGCTGCTTATTCAAAAGGGCAAAAGCAACACAGCACTTGTGTTTTCCACAGTGTGTTTGCCAGTGACCTCAACCCTGACCTGCAGGGTCACCTTCTCCGGGACGAGAAGTAATCCTGTGTTGGGTCAGCCTCTGGTACTGAGGGACTCCTATGAGTGGTGGCATTTTTTACAATGAGAGCTACTGTGTCTGCTTTGGCTTAGCCAAGACAATTACATGATGCCAAAACAACTAGTCAATGCAGTCAATTTAGTCAAATGATTGGTCTGAGTATTTGACCTTATACAGACAAAAAATGAAATAGAAATGAAATTTTTACTTTTACCCAATCATACTGAACTTGTGAGGATACAACTTAAATTGATTTAGAAAGTTTTTGTGACATCAGTTGTTTCTATATACATAAACTATACATAAACTAAACATGTTATATGTACATATAGGAATGAACAAAATTAAAATCTAATAAGAACATGCAAGTTATATCACTATTCTCCTTGCTATATGGTTGTAAAATACGATGACATTATGAACTTTAAAACAATCTTCCCAAAGATATTGAGAAAATAAATATGGATTAAAATGTGATTCTATATTTCTCCAGGCAAGATGGCTTCATATACAGCTAGGAATATAAGTAAAATTTAAATATTTTGTATAGTCCTAGGGTGGAAAGTCTAAGAAAAAGACCCCAGTTTCCAGAGGCTACTGGCCAATTGAGGACCAATAAATATATTTAAACTAGAGACAAATATAAAATCATGTAATTTATCTATGATCGTTGATAGCACTGCCATAAGATCCAACCAGTTACCATTTAAGATCTTTTATGCATTTGGAATGTTTATTTTTCAACCTCGGATATACAGTTTGATACCCCTAACTTAAAAAGAAGCTGTGTCTCTTGCTGCCATTAAAAGACAGGGTGGGGGGAAAAAGTCAAGTAACAATATTTGTTAGGTTCTCTTTCCTTTAACTTTTCCCCGGGCGGGGGTGGGGGAACCTTGAAGCAGAGAAAACAAACTTTCCCTCCAGCACATGATTGTATAAGGACTATACCATTTCTCTGAATAAAGAAGAAGAAATAAATTCAGCTTTGGAACTCCGCCATTGAGTGGCGGCTCCTGCAAAGGGGACAGTTTGCTATTAATTGTTAATGTCGTCTGCCATTAGAGGGCACTAAACAACTCTACATTAATGAGTTGGAGGGAAGAGAGAAAAGGAGACTGGAAAAGAAAGAGAGGGAGAAAAGGGAGGGAGAGTACGGGTAGAGTCCGGGTAGAGGGAGGGAAGGAGAGAAGAGGCGAAGGAGTAGGGGAAAGAGACCGGAGGGAATGGCTGGGAGGACTGGAGGGAAAGGGAGAAGGGGAAAAAGACAGCGAGATAGAAACAGAGACAGAATGATTCTGGAAAGATTAAGAAGGATGTGGAGCCCCCACAGCCGTCTGAAGTGAGCAAAAAGACAGCCTCTCCCGGGCCGCCCGAGCCCCCTCCCCTCCCGTCCTCACGACGGTAATTATAAAGCGAAAAGCGGCGGCGAGGTCACCCGTTTTTACCAGCCTGCTGCACCGAATGCGCGCGGTGCAGGTGCGGCGGCCGCGGGGCTTTGTGATTCATGCCCACTTTCAAAGGGGGGCTTGGGCCCGTCTGAGAGGCACCCAAACAACTGTCTTCTAATATTAGCACGGCTGTATTTCGGGATCTATTATAGTCTGTCCAGACAGATCCCATTGTAATGGGATCTTTTATTAAAAGATTAGCACTATCTCCTGCAGTTGGTGGAAAAAAATCTGTTATCACTGAGTTATTTGCAGTTGTGGAGGGGGGAAGGTTGATGGAAGATGGGGGGTGGGAGGGCGAGAGGAGGACTGGGGGAGGGTCTGGCGGGGGGAGGGGAGTTACAGGGGGTTGATGGGGGAAGAAGGGCGGATTTGAAATTCGTAGAACAAATCCCAGTGACCTGCGAATGTCCAAGAATTTTGTCTGCATACTTCGCTGTCTGTTGGCCTTCGGGCTTCAGAAGCGAAAAGAACAAAAATTTAAAAGGCAGCTTTGGAATAAACAATATAGCATTTTCCGTGAAGTAATCGTTTTATATAAAAGGAAATATCGCCTCCTCAGTTTCATTCAGCGGTGCCAAAAATGTTATAAATGAGAGACCCGCCAACTTTCAGCGAAGAATGCCAGGCACTGTACTTAATAAAGTGAGGCTACAGAAGTTCATTATGGATGTTGCAATCTTTTTTATTCTGCGAAAAGAGAGAAGGAGAGAGAGAGAGAGAGAGAGAGAGAGAGAGAGAGAGAGATTGGAGCCGAGGAGACTGAGAGACAGACAGAGGCACACAGGACAGAAACTGGGGAGTCTCCAGGCCGGGGAGGAAGGAGGGGGGCCAGACCGCCTACGTCGGCGCCCCCGCTCCAGGCTCCGACTCCAGACGCCGCGAAGTGA